AAACGCAAAATATAAATTTTCTATTTTGTCTTCAATGGTAGATATGAGAGTAGAAAGACAGCATTGAAATGGAATAACAACAAAAACAAAAAGAAACAAAAGTAAAAGAGCAATTCCCTTATGCGTATCCCAATGGCAAAAGTCATATTGACTTCATCTATAATTATTTACATAATGAACTCGCAATATCTATCTAGAGTCTTGATAAACATGTTAAGTGTACTCGAATTTCTAATTCCCAAAAGCATAACCGAAAAACTATTTATCGAGCTTTAACATGAGAGATTTGACAGGCAATAAAAAACCATCACCTTTTGATTGAGACGAAGAAATTGTTTATGAGTATGATTGACAAAATTAACAGAAACAAGTAATTGATGGTTGAACGTCATAATTTTTTTATTTATGTACACATATATGAAAAAAAAAAATTACCATCTGTTTATAATATAGAATTAAATTAAAAAAATAGATAAAATCACTAAAAACTAAAAACTCCTAAAAGTATTCCTAATGCCCTAACAAATACTCCAATATATATATATATATATATATATATATATATATATATATATATATATATATATATATATATATATATATATATATAGAGAGAGAGAGAGAGAGAGATTTATTTTAATACTAGTTTATAACCCGTGGGAACCATAATTACAAAATTAATTAAATTTTAATATTAAAAACTCAAAATTATTAAACACTTATTTTAAATAAACTATTAATTAAGAGATTTTTTTTAGTTATATAAAATTATAATCATTGATTTAAATAAATATGTAAAATTATATCATTTTATAATTTATTTTAATTTTTATTCTAATATTATTAATTTAATATAATTAGAGTGGAAAATTTAAAATTTGAAATTTAAAACGGTGAATAAATAGGTTAATAAGAGGCATATATTAATTAGGAGACAAAATTAGGTGACATATCATTATACTAATAAAAGAGTAGCTTTTTTGCCATGTGTCATCATATTAAACATTTTAATTAATGTGTTGCCACTTGTCAATCTATTAGTTTTTCATTTTAAATTTATTAGACCTCCTCATTAATGTGATTCTATTTTAAATTTTAAAATTTAAATTATTGTTTTCATTAACTCACAAATAAAAAATATCTAATATATATTAAAAATTAATTTTATATATTTATTTGAATCAATGATTATAATTTTACATAACTAATAAAAATATCTGTTAAATTAATATTTTATTTAAAATAACTTATTAATAATTTTGAGTTCTTTCTATAAAAGTTTGATTAATTTTATAAGTGTGGTTCCCACAGGTTATAAACTAGTAATAAAAATAAAATAAAATATGCATTAATTATGAGGTATAATATGATGACATATGTCAAAAGGAGAATAAAATTATTTTTTATTTGAATATGAAGACTAGTTTCTAATCCGTGGAAACCATAGTTACGAAATTAATTAAACTTTTATAATTATATAAAATTATAATTTTTGATTTAAATAAAAACATACAATTATATTAAATTATAATATGTATTAATTTTATTTTAATTTTTATTCTAATGTTGTTAATTTAATATAGACAAAATTTCAAAAATGGTCCCTATGGTTTTCGAAAATATCAAGTTTGGTCCCTAACTTACAAAAACCTCATGGATTGTCCCTGTGGTTTCAAAACTTTTAACATTTGGTCCTTTCGGCTAACTCCATTACCATTTAGCCGTTAAGTCAATGATATTTTTGTCATTTCACTACACACGGACCATTTATGAGGTATTCAATTACTTTTTTTAAAATAAATAAATAATATTTAATATGCAAGGGGTCCCACCCTCTCTTTCTCTCTCTTTCTTTCTTTCTCTCTCTCTCTCTCTCTCTCTCTCTCTCTCTCTCTCTCCCTGCCAAAATAATAAAGGACCATATTAACCCACCTCCACTGCCATCAACATTGCAACCTTCCCCTTCCTTCTCTTCGTGAACCACTGGATGCCAAAATAACCGGGTTGCAGAGCTGCCACCCACCATTGGCAAAACTCACTTCACCACTGCCGCCGTAGTGACTGTTGGAACACCCCTACTCTGACCATCTACCATCCGACATCGTCCATCGCTCTTCCCTCTCGTCATCCCCGCTGAGCAGAAGTAAGAAAGAAGCAAGAAGGGCAACCGGAGCAATCTCCGACCACCACTACAACCGCCATCTGCTGCTGCCACCATGATTCCAGCTGCTACCACCATGATTCCAACCGCCACCACCACCTTCTACTTCTTCAATCGATTTACAATGCAAAATTACCTTTTCTGGAAGGATCTTAGTAGGATTGGTAGAGGACTAAGAAGCACAAAAATGTGAGGAGTGGGATTAGGTGAAGGGAATGAAAATGGATAAACAGAGCACCTACGATTCCTAATGCCTGTATCCAAGTCTCTTACAATTTTTCATTATTTTAATTCCAACCCCTTAATTTCTTATTCTGATCTCTATACATGTTCCATATATTTGCTGAATTGGATGTCTCTGGACATAAAATTGGAATTGTATGCTTCTAATGGTGATAACTCTTACTAAATAAATCAGAAAATGAAGGAGGAGAACAATGCACTCCATGTGCTCGATGAAACACCTGAAAGAAATGTTCCTTCACAAAACTGAAAGTGTATAATTTCACACGTGGAGAAGAAGATTGGCTCTCAATTCGACCATGCCACACTCGATGATGTGTTTGGATTACAATTAAAAGCAACACCACCCTTGGGGGTGGTGGTTTTTCTCGGTAGTGAAGGAAAAGGGGAAGGGCAGTAGAAGAACGTGAATGGAAGGCAGTAAGTGGTGGTATTTAAGGGTGGGTTTGAGTGATCAAACGAGATGGAAGATGGGTGGCTGGGTTGTGGTTTCCGGTGGGGAAAGAGGTGATGGCAGTGGTGGTATTATGGCGGAAGGTGGTGCAACCGTGTGGAATCGTAAGTGAGAGAGAGAGAGAGAGAGGTGGGACCCATTGCATATTAAATGTTATTTATTTATTTATTTTAAAGAAAGTAATTGAATACCTCATAAATGGTTCATGTGTAGTGAAATGATAAAAATGCCCTTGACTTAACGGTTAAATGGTAACGGAGTTACCCGAAATGACCAAATGTTAAAAGTTTTGAAATCACAGGGAAGATACGTGAGGTTTTTGTAAATTAGGGACCAAACTTGATATTTTCGAAAACCACGGGACCATTTCTGAAGTTTTGTCTTTAATATAATTAGAATGAAAACATTAAAATTTTGATATTTGAAATGGATA